GAATGAAGTGGGGTTACAAGTTTTCAATGCATCTTTCAAAATGACACCTGTGTAATGGAGCAATCGCTGGAGGATTTTTAAGTTTCTGAAATGTCAAAAGTCAATGAAATAAAGCAAGGATGGCACTGCTTTTGCTTAAGTTGTGTCCTGTTTCTTTACATAAAAAAATCATGCTTTGGTAAATCCTAATTATGACATACTTAGTCAAAATTATGACAAATTATGGCATAATGTCAAAAATATGAAGTCATAGTTATGACTTAAACATTCAAAATTATTAGCCTGACTTTGTCATACTCATATTCTAGTCAGAATGTGAGTCTGATACTGCTCCATAGGGCTTTGATTATGAGGCGCGTCTTAACCGAACCAGGGAAAAAAAAAACCTCTGCACTCAATTGGATAGACCTACAACCAATCAGAGCAACGCAGTAAGTGACGTATGTTGAGCGACGCATAGTTGTCAACAGAACTCAACTGCACGCACGCTGGAAGAAGTAGTAAAATAATGAGTGTAAACGATCTTTGCCGGTGTTGTAAAAAGAATTTAAGGATTCGCGGAGAACTTGCAAACACGAAAAGAATTTTTGAGAGAAATAGAAAAGGTGAATATACGAACAAGTTCTCCGTTTAGGATTAGATCTCGACAATAAAACGTGATGATTACGTAAACTGCAGATCATCTGTCCATCATCGTATAAAGCCCGCCCTGGCAATTTGGCCCGACAATTTCTGAACAGATAATAATTATTCCTCAATGGATCGAGTCCAGACTTCCCAACCAAAAAGTGTTGTGGGAGGGGTTCGGGCTTAGCCTGACTATGTCAGACTTCGTAATTCCTCTCAATTTCAGTTCGCTTCTGTACTTAGTCTGAGATAGCAACCTATCTCTCAGTTTTCCTCCGGCCTGAAAACAGCCGGCCAATCAACGAACAGAGGGCGGGCTGAGAGCCGTGACGTAGACGCTAAGTACCGAGTTTAAGATTGTATTTTAGGTTAGGGAAATCGAAAACGACCGCGGATATGGAGACACGGTATGCAATTCGCTCTGTTGTGGAGAATATTCCCGGCATTTGCAAACTGAAGCCCGAACAAGAAGAGTGTTTGTTAAGCATTTTGAATGGAGGTGATGTTGTGGCCCTACTGCCGACAGGTTTTGGGAAAAGTTTAAAGACCGATCGTCAGCGAGAAACTGGGGAGGCCAAAGGCCGGCAAGGCGATCGTTGTGATTGTGTCCCCCTTGGTTGCACTCACGGAGGATCAGGTTAAGGAGGCAGCAAAACTCGGTCAGCCATCACTCCGGTATTTCGCTCGATGTTTTCGTTTTCGCATCATACATGTTTACAGTGGAAGTTCGATGCGGCTGAGCTGGCGAATAACACACGTCATAACCAAACGTTATGTGATTGGCTTACGGGTAACCAATGATTTTATACTTCAGACAATTTTATGTTACTAATTCATATATATACAATAATTATGATAATATTTTCCCATTGAAAATAATACACTTTTTTCGATTTGTTAAAATAGAGACATTTTTTGAAGGCAGATTAGTGTCATCTGGTAAAAAAAGGGAAAAACTTATATAATGATGCACACTAGATTAATATAATATAGCTCTATAAAAAGAGTCTTGTCTATAGTTGTTTTTTTTTACATAAAAACTAACTTTTATTAGTTTGTGGATTTGGATATATATTTAGAAATTCTCAAAGACTACTTTTTGTCAAGGTTTAGATATTTGTAGTTTGAAATGTTGATTTGAAGTGTCAGTTTTTCCATTAATTTTACTACCGTCAAACCTGAACACAGATAAAAACATTTTGTTACATATAACATAAAAATTAAATAAATATGTAACAAATTGAAAAGGAATTCTTTATCAGAGCTTAATTAATCTGATATCAACCTCTTACTTGAGTCTTCTGGCTCAATTTTTCCATATTGTTACAGCCAAACCATATAATTTATGCGTGTATAAGTGTGTTGTGTGTGTGTGTTTAAGTGAATGTCTGTTTTGTACTCTTGATGTTTTAGAGTGTAACCCCTTCCTTGCTGTCCGTTGTTTCTCTGCATTGTGGCTAAATTATTGATTTTATTTTACACATTTGCAAAACCTTATAGGCTACTTTGTGTTTCAGTCACACCCGTTCATGTATGTTTGGGGGAAGGTCGAGTGTGTCTATATTGCACTCTTGATATTTTACAATGTCACTCTGTTATAAGAAGGTTGCAGCAGGGATGAAACAGGATCTAAGTGCAGCAGCTTTATGCAAAGACAAACTCAAAAAAAAATCTCGGATCTCAGGTACAGGTACAGGTACAGGTACAGGTACAGGTACAGGTACAGGTACAGGTACAGGTAGTGATGGCAATTTCAAAACACTGCTTCATGAAGCTTCGAAGCCTTTACAAATTGTTTGTCCCGAATCAATGGTTCGGAGCGTGTATCAAACTGCCAGAGTCACGTGATTTCAAAATTTAAAATTCAAAATTTTAATGGTTCACCGCTGGGGGCGATGATCTCTGTCGACCCATGAATCATGAGGATTCACTGAGAACCATTGAACAAGTGTCTGTGGGTTTTACCTGATCTCTGATCAGTTTTATACATTTGTAGACTATTTAATTAGACATTAGCCATTCATAGAACTAACAAAACAAACTCTGACAATTGATAAAATAATATACACTTGATAATCTTATTAGATGATTAGATAATTACATTTGAAAGATTTTACTTTCAATAAAACATTTGCAATAGATTTGTGAAAGAGGTTTTTATGCATGTTTGGCCTGGGTTTTTGTTGCATTTACACTGTTCTGACCACTAGGGTCACCATGGAGACGGGTGTCGGATTGTTTCGAAGACTCGACACAATACGGCACATTTGCTTCAACTGTTTCAGTGTTTCACGAAGCCTCGATCTGCCCACCACTAGGTACAGGTACAGGTACAGGTACAGGTACAGGTACAGGTACAGGTACAGGTACAGGTACAGGTACAGGTACAGGTACAGGTACAGGTACAGGTACAGAACAACCAACTAAATGCAACATATAACTGACAAATAACTGAAAGAAACACAAGGCTTAAATAGACAGAAAACAGATGAACTAATGAGACTAATTAACGAGACACAGCTGAACTGAAACTCAAATCAAATCAAAAACCATATAAACAAACAGGCAGGGGGTGGAGAAAGACAGAACTGAACTAATTAACAGATTAACCAAACACAGACAAGAACAGAAATCAAAACAAACAGATCTTTTTTCTGCATTGCATTTCCCTTTAATTTCTGTAAGACTGAGCCTCGGGTAGACAAAGGACCTTGCTGCAAATTAACACTTGAACTCCCCCTTGGGCACAATTGAGACGAAGTTCTCACCTCCCGCATCCTACATTTCTTCCCCTCATCCTCCGCTCTTGCAGAGATTACCCAAACTCACACAAGAATCTATATGGTTTAATGTGAATAATTATCATTGAGTATTATACATATTTAGTATCATTCGAAATGTCTCGGGGTGACTGGTACAAGTGTCTCATTCCCAAATAAGTAAAACAAAAGGTAATAAGGTTTTAAAGAGTTTAGAGATAACTGGCACACAAAGGAATGTGGTCTCTAGACAAATGGTCTCCTACCCTCAAAAGGTGTAACCTCTGAATGCAAATATCCATTGTTAGCACATGTTTCATGTGAAAGAAGTTTCTGTCTATATAATGAGCAAGGGCCTCGGGGCCTTCTGTACCTCAGATCAGCCCGTGGCCCGTGAATGCTGAGACTCAAGTCGCCAAGACTCTCAGCATCATGTATTTCTAATGTCGGGTTAACATTTCCCCTCTTTATTCCAGAGCATTTAATGTTTTGTATTGATTATCTTTGAACTGATTATGAAATGTGAATGATACATTTACCTGACATAATAAATTGTTACATTTGATCATTCTAACTGATTTGGACATTATTTTCATTAGAGTTAAAAGGAATAGTCAAACATTCGCTAACATTTAATTAATGCACGGATATCATTAAAACCTTTTCATTTATGGATTCAGATGAAACAACGAGAAAATACATATGAGAAAATGTATTGCATTTAATCAAAAATACTTTGCCACGAGAGAAGACAGTAACACGTAAAGACCAATGCTATCTCACGAGCAATTCGTACGAATTCGTACGAGTGATTAAAAGGTGGCTAATTCGTACAAATTCGTACGACCTGACTCGTACGAATTTGTACGATTTGTCTAAACCCATGTGATGGGTAGGTTTAGGGGCGGGGTCAGGGGTAGGTCATTCGTACGAAATCTTACGAATTTGGTAACTCGTAAAATATGTACGAATTAGCAAAAAAACGTACGAATTTGTACGATTGAGGTTGTATAAATTCCTTCCGTGCTGGTCGGATGCCGGACTTAATTTGGGCCGATTGAGCCCGAGTTAGCGCATTTGTTAGCGAGTTAGCGATTTAAACACATTTGTGTTGTTAGAGTGCGAACAACACAAATGTGACTTTTTTTTTACCACCATTTAGCTTTTTCAAATCAAGTCGATTTTTTTTTATATGACTGCCAGAAAAGTCACAGAGTAGTTTTCAAAAAAAATAGTTTTGTCTAAAATGACCGAACGACACCAGAGGGTTAAGATTTATATTTCATGTGGCTGAAATGGGCTTCCAAGACCCCCGACTTCGTTTCAAACATTTTTAGGGCAGCTGTAAGGGTCAGACCGACCCCATCCCCCCATAAATCGCATTGTGGTTATAGTGTCCTCTCGTGTAGCCTACACCTGCTAATTGGGACACGACAGTGAGCTTTAACTGCGCTCTCCAAGCTGTAGTCACCAGCTGCCCTCACATGATCAGCACGAGCATCAGCAGCATCCAGCTTCACACGAAGGCAACACAAGTCAGAGCACATGCGGATATAAATGAAACAGGTCTCTGGATCTCCAACTGCGTCTGACGGTGACGAAGTGAGAACTTTTGAAGTTTGGGAGGTGTTTATCCACTATTGTAGCCATGGCGTCTTTCTTGGAGGCAGAATTGTGAATGAGAGACGCACGGTTAAGAAGTGAATGAACACGACTTGTATTTCATGTGCACATGAATCCGATTTATGAATGGGCATCTTGACAAGCACAGCGCGCTTCATAAATTCCCATGATCGACCAAAGAGACGCTGGATTACAAATGTCCCTCCGCTTGTCAAGCGGGATTGTATGTCTAAAAACGAGTCTGAATCGCCGCATGTTTATTTGACACGGTACTATTTTCCTTTGATTCACGATTTAATAACTGCTTTCCATTTTATCAACTCGAAATCCTTTTATGGCAGCTGTAAAAGCGCACAACTGAACTGGAGCACGACCCGCAGCAGCTCGGTGTCTGGATGCGCCCGTTGCGCGGAAGATACCCGTGGCACGGAGGACTGGACCCCTCACTGCTGCCCTGTAATGATGAATTGAGGATGGTGGAGGGAACGGACGCCCCTCTGAGAAACATTTCGACAGGAAATCGGGACAGCAAGTACATCTCTTTCCCCTGGGTGGTGACTTTACTCTCCAGTGTTCTGATCACTACGATTATAGTAGATGTTCTGGGCAACCTGTTGGTCATTGTATCAGTCTTCAGAAACAGAAAGCTCAGGAAGGCAGGTAAATGTCTTCATCTCTATAATTCATCATGCTGACAGTTTATGTATTTGTGTTTTATTGGCAATAAGCTTCTGAAGTAACATTATTAGTGATATCGACTGATATCTCTGATTGATCAAGAACAGAACATCATTTTAAAAATGGTTTTATTCTTGACAGAGTTGCAAATAAATAAGCATTAGTCTAAAAGCATTATGAATATTTATTATTATCACCTATGCTGGTCTTTAAACCTGACTAACTAATAAAAGTGCCCAAAATCCCGCTAAAACAAGACAACAGAGCAGTCTGACCTGTAAGACCAGCAAACCAAATCAACCCTTTTTCCCCCTGCAGTTATTATTTTTCATCTTTTTAATTTTCTTCCTCTTCTTCATAATAATAATGTTTTGCAGCATGAGTCATTATCTTTTCAACTCCTTACTATTTCAACTCCTACTTAATACTCCAACTCCTTCTTAATACTAATAATAGGCCTATCTACTCAACTAACATCAACAACAATAATAGGTTATTAATAATAATAATAATGCAATACTAATCATATTTATGCACAATTGTTTTGCGAGCTAAATTGTCACAACTTTTCACCATAGTTTTGTCTGTTTAACTGTTAAACTTTATTGAGAATTAACGGCTGAAAAACAATTAATTATGCAAACAACAATTTGCACAACAAACTGTGATCACCAGGCATCATTTCCCATTGTCAAATGGTGATATTTATTCACTGACCCGATATTAAAGTACCAATAACTGACTATCAGTTATCTCTGCTCATTCTTTTGTTTTTAAAGATTCAGACAGAGTAATCGACTCATCAATGATTTCCAGACCATTATGATCACATGAGGCGTCAAACTGAAAAGACAAAAGCATGGTGGTATCAGCTGCTCTATGGATGCCTCTGCTTGCGGCTCTGCTAACATTCTCAGTTTTAGTCTGTGGCGTGAGTTGCAACATCTCAATCTACCTCCGGCCACTGCATGGTCTTATCTCATGAACACAGCACAGCCTGACCTTTTCCTTAGGAGATTTAAACTTTAAAGTGTTTCTAATGTGCAGTCACTTTGTCTGACCAACTAATGATTGACCTTTAAAAGATACAACCAATAAGAAACATTTGATGATCTTTTCTAATGATCTCCCCTTTTTTTTTAATGAGAAATAAAGTTTCAAACAGAGCTTGAAACTGAGATACCTGTTAACCAGACACATATAGATCTTATAATTATCTGGCTAATGCAACACGTGCAGTCTTTTAGATAACTAAATAGTTCCAGACAGAAATGTTCTTTTATGTGATGTTCATTTCTGTTGATTAGACTCCCTGAAGGAACACTAAACAAACTGTGGTTTGTATTGTCAATATTTCCTCTATATGAAGCCATTAACACCATTTTAATGCAGGAGCTGGCAGTGAGAGGGGTTCATGAACTGCTGACACACCCCCAGTAATTAGAGCTCTAGTGTTTTGCTGCAATGTGATGTGTGTGTTTGTTTAGAGATACCATCACATTATTTGCACCTCATATGATCTATTGGTGATTCCCTTCTCTCTCTTTTTTTCTTTCATAGCCTTGACATAAGTACACTGCAAAACAACATTTTCTTGTATCAGTATTTTCACCATGCTTTCAGTGAAAAATATCTAAAGATCCTTGAAACAAGATACATTTACTTGAGAAGCAGGACTGTGTATAAGAAGAGAACACTTATTATCTATATAGTTTATTTTTCTTGCACTACTGGGAAATGTTTTTTTTTTTTCTTGTAAGAAAAACTTCTCAATATGTTGAAATGTGAAAGTGTAAAATAATATTTTTGGTATTGAAAAATTTTCAGTGTATAGCAATGACCAGACAATACTATAAGGCACTATATAGCTCTATGTAGGTCTTTAAATGTGTTTTCATTTTAAACACGTGCAGCTGTACTTTTCTCGCCCACTTGATGCTCAGTGAGGGCAGATCCATTACAGATAGTGGATCTGGATCAAAGCTAATATGTGATAAATGTGATGATTTATTCCATCACAGGTCCTGACATTTCAGACTGAGTCACGCACAAGTGACAAAATTCAATTTGTGTCCCATTTCCATTTTCATCAATAGCCAAAAATGTATTTATAGCTCACAAATTTAAAATATTCTTGACCTCAATTCTTGTGACATTGAAGTCGTCATATTTATTTAAGTAGCAGAAAGGGGTGCGTTTCCCAAAAACATTGTTAGCCAACTATGGTCTCAAGTTCTGTCGTTACCAGCAGTTGAACGATTTGGTGTTTCCCGAAACCATAGCTCCAACGAACATTCGCGAACAGCGTCGCAAACTTACGTGGTTCGTAGCTCTCTTCAATGTATACATTTTAGCGTGTCAAAAATCATCGCTGTTTTCGAAGAGTGCGCATGTGCATAAATGCATAAGGGAATCCCAGAGTATGAAGTATGAGGGAAAAATTACAGGGAACAAAAACAATGAAGTAGCCCTCAGTTCACTAGCAGCATGTCAGGGAAGTTATGTTGTGGAGAAAGCTGCTGACTGACTGAACTACATTCTATTGTTTCTATTGCCTTCTATTGTTTATGTTGTTACGTGGAGGAAGGTGAACCCAGGCGCAGACAGCAGATGCAATGAACACAGGATTTATTGATACAAAAACAGGAAAACAAAACCCACGAGGGGGCAAACAAGACAGGGTAGAACACTCCAGACTAAGACAGGAACAAAATAAAGACACGAACAGACACTTCTTGAATAACTGACTTCTCTATGAAATACTCACTGTTAGAAATACACAACGTCAAACAATGAACCGACACAGGACAGCAAACACAAGGGGATTATATGGGGAACACTAATGACGAGGACAGGTGAAACTGACTAGACAATAATGACAAGACGAGGATAACAAGGGGGCGGGGTGACGTAACGAGACACCACAAGCACATGGCCAAACAATTGGCCATGCGCTTGTACACAAAACATTGGTTCTGTCATGATCCTGCCACACGACTAGGAATAATCAATAACATGATGGCAGAATCATGACAGAACCCCCACTTTAAGGAGCGGCTTCCAGACGCTCCTCAAAGGGACACTAAGCACAAGACAAGACTGAACGAGACATGGACAAGAACCAACAAAACATGGTGAACATCAACAATGGCATACATGAATAAACAATAACAGGGTTCGGGTGAAACATCAAGAACAACATACAAGGCAAGGGAGGTGGAGGAAACACATAGTTCATGGGGGAAGGTCCAGGGTGGACGGGGGAACTGGGGATCTTGGGTCCATGGGATGAGGGCTGAGGACGAGAACTCTGGGCAGGTTTGGAGGGGGACACACGAGGAGGGGGCTTGGGCGACACAGTCCGGGGTTTAATGGTGACAGGGGAAACAGTCCGGGGACAAGTGGAGACAGGAACGAACGGTGAAACAGTCCGGGGACTAGTGGAGACAGGGACAAACGGGGAAACAGACCGGGGACTAGTGGAAACAGGGACGAACGGGGAAACAGACCGGGAATTAGCAGCAACAGATTCAGACGAGGACACAGAGGATGAGGAACCGGGACTCCTGACATGGGACATAGCAGGCGAAGGGGCAGGACAGGGTGCAGCGATCACGGCGGCAGGCTCGGGTGCAGCGCTCACAGTGGCAGATACCGTGGCTGGGGTCAAGACGGGACAGACAGGGACCGGATCGAGTGCTGTGCTCACAGGGACAGGACCAGGTGCAGCGCTCACGGAGACATGCGTGGGTGCTGCGCTCACCGTGACAGGCTCGGGTGTTGAGGACAAGGCAGGACAGACAGGTTCAAGGATTTTGACAAGACTTGACAAACAATTATCTAAAGCCTCAGCGGCAATGACAACAGGCATCCTTTGATGAGCTGATACCGATCGCAGGACTGCTTCTGCAGCTTGATCGGCCGCAGCTCTCACAGCAGCTGACTTGGGATCGACGCTCGCTGGAGCGGGCTCTGGCACGGCGCTTGTTGGAGCTTGATCGGCCGCAGCTCTCACAGCAGCTGACTTGGGATCGGCGCTCGCTGGAGTGGGCTCTGGGACGGCGCTCGCTGGAGCGGGCTCTGGGGAAGACAGAGACGGAGGACAAGAGGCTCCCTTCTTCCTCTTCTTCTTCCTGGGTCGCGGTGCAGAGGACGTAGCCGGGCTTGTGACCAGTTGCGGAAGCACAGCAGGGACTGCAGTCTCAGTGGAAGAGGACTCCGAAGTCGACTCCCACGACAGCCGTCTCTCTCGTTTGCCGAGTAGACCTTCGGGTCCGGATGACGTCACGGGAGTGGAACCAGCTTGATTCCCCTGGGAAACGACGCCTAGGACACGACCCTCCGGAATAACTGGCAGCTTGACTGGTGGTGAAGACAAGATGGACCCCCGGGACTCTCTCCTCGATAAACAATCCACCACATCAGCGAACGAATGGCAAACCAGGCTCTCCCGTTCAGCCAGGGGTGGAGGAGAGTTGAGACCCGCAATGAGGTAGCGGTTTAGGAGGTGATCAGGCAGGAAAAACCTCCTCTCGTTGGCGACCCGGGCATACTCACACAATGATAACTCTCCCTGGGAGGGAATCGGGAGTTTGCCCCTCTTAGAGTCAGCGATGATCCTGTGCCACCAATCCTTAAGATCATCAAGGTTATGCCTGACATAAGAGGACGTAATGTCTGCTGGGTTCGGTTCTGGTCGGTTCATTCTGTTACGTGGAGGAAGGTGAACCCAGGCGCAGACAGCAGATGCAATGAACACAGGATTTATTGATACAAAAACAGGAAAACAAAACCCACGAGGGGGTAAACAAGACAGGGTAGAACACTCCAGACTAAGACAGGAACAAAATAAAGACACGAACAGACACTTCTTGAATAACTGACTTCTCTATGAAATACTCACTGTTAGAAACACACAACGTCAAACAATGAACCGACACAGGACAGCAAACACAAGGGGATTATATGGGGAACACTAATGA